CAGGCTAAAGAAAGTGCTTATTAATTGCTTAATAGAATGAACTCAGCTGTTGGCAACCAACCCGTGCCTGACCTGGAACCCACCTCTGTAAGTCCTTACCAGCTGTGGCCCCTGCCCCAGGGGAGGGTGAGATAGCACCCCCTTGGTGTAGGGAATATGGAAGGTGCCCAAGGACTTGCTGGGGCTGGGGCTGGGTGTCCTCCAGGGATACTGGTCACCAGGGATCGGTTTCCTGCCCCCAGGAGTGAGGGCTGGTGAGTGTGGGCTTGCTGTGTATTGCCCAACTCTGACGCTTCCAGGGGAGTCGCCTAGCTTCTTGACAACTCTTGGGGACAGGAAGGGCCAACCGGGGTGGGTATGTGAACAGAGACATTCGGGCTCCCAGAAGTGTGTCTCCATGGGAGGGTGGGGCTGTTTTCCGGTGGTTTAGTGGCAGGGATGGCGTTTTCCTTCCCCGAGCCACATTGCCGAGCCCATGATAAGGCCGGCTGGGCTGTGTGTCCTCAATTCTTTCCAGGCTGGAAAAACTCAGAGATTCCAGGCAAGTTGTCAGCAGCTTCTCCCCTGTAGCCAGGGGGGAGGTTCTGAGGTTCAGCCTCTTACAGTCAGGCGCTAAGCCAGCTCTGGGCTCCTCCCTGGGGCTGGGATCCGTGGACTGGGGCTGTGACAGCACAGGGACAGAATGGCCTGGATGACCTCATGGGCTATCCCTTCCCCCACCCCACAAACACGGACATGCACATATGTCTGAAAACATGCACGTGCACACCTGTCTCTCCCTCCGTTTCATCGGCATGTTCTGATCCTGCTCCCCCCCCACCCCCACTCCCATCCAATCCCGACTCTGGGGAGGGGCCAGGAAAAGACCCAGGCCGCTCTGCATGGCAGTCTGATGAGCTCCCAAGGAACTGACCTCAGGCCGCCCTGGCTCAGTCCTTCACACCACACCCCGCATCCCCACCCGGGGCTGCCCGAGGAAGGATCCTCCGTGAAGCAGATGGGAAGGAGCCAACACCACGCGGTCAGAAACCACGGATGCCTTTGGAAAACCACCCCCGGGCGAGTAGTCAGGAGAGTAGCTGGTGGGCACACGAGGGTGGCTGGGCTGCTGCAGAGAGGGCCCTGCTCACCCATCCTCAGACTGGCTTCCCTGGCCTCAGTTTTTGGGGTGCCTCATCCAGCATTCCCCCACCCCACCCTCCCCGCCCAACTGACGGCCTGTGCTGGGCCTGTGGCACTTGGCAATCCTGCTGGGAGCTCTCAGCCCTGGGAGCTGACAGCAGGATCACCGGGGAAACTGTCAGCAAGGCAGATCCAGATCCGGGCGCCCTGTCAGATTCAGCAGGTGGGGGGCGTCCCTGGACACTGAACATAAAGGCAAAACTGCACAGATTCTGAAAGAAGTGGCCACCATCACCCTGCAGCCCCAGGCGTGGAGAGAGGTGCCCCGGCCACCTGCCCAGCCCCTGGAGTGGGTGGTCCTTCTAGACTGGAGAGCTGGGGCATGACCCTGTGTCCCTCCAGTTAAGCCTGCTGGCTTGAGCAAACAGGAGGGAGGGCCCTGCTGTCAGAGGCTGCTCACCCAGATTAGAAAGCCCCGGGGGCTGTTCCCAGGTGCCTGTGTCTGAGCCTGGCTGAGCCATGAAAGCCTGCGACTTCCATGCCCCGGGAGATGGAGGTGAGGGCGTGTAGACAGCATGCACTGGTTTCAGACATGATCCAGAAACATCTAACCCAGCGGTTCTCCATCTTCCCCATGCTGCAACCCTTTAATACAGTTCCTCCTGTGGTGGGGACCCCAGACCATCACATTATTTTCATTGCTACTTCATAACTGTAATTTTGCTACTGTTATGAATCATCATGTAAATATCTGATATGTGGGATGTATTTTCATTGTTACAAATTGAATATCATAAACAATATATAATTCTAGATTGTGAAATATTTATTCTAATGACAAATAAATGAACCTTTGTCTTGAAGCATGGTGTAGCATGGGTCTTCACGCCAGGTACTCATATGCGGGCGTATCTGCATGTGGGCGGACTCGCCTGGAGACGGATAGAGGAGCGGTGTCTCGTTTCTGAAGACCATCAGAAATATGTGTTTTCCGATGGTCTTAGGTGACCTGTGAAAGGGTTGTTCAACCCCCAAAGGGGTCTCGACCCACAGGTTGAGAACCGGTGATCCAACCTTTTCACCAGTGTGAAGGCTCTCATCTCTGTTCCCGCCTGGGGAAGCGGAGGCAGGAGAAGTCCCGCTGGATGGGAAGCAGTGTGGTTCTCTGAGGTCAATCTCGGGTCCCTCGTATGGTTGCGAGGACCTTGGGGGTCTGGCTCCTCCCTTTCCTCAGCCCTGATCCTCTTGCGGGGTGCTATTGGCTTGATCTCTGATACAGAGCAGCCTGTGTGACGCAGTGGACGCCCCCCCCCCCACACACACACCAGGGGGCTTTCTTGGCTGTTAGGTCTACAGAATCAGATCTGAAAGGCTCTCTTCCTGTAGAACCGCCAACCTCTCCATCTGCAGCTGAACACTCACCCCTTAACCCCCCAGTAGCTCAGAAATGAGGGGACTGGCAGGTCAGTGATCAAATTCTTGCCTTCTATGGGGACAACCCCAGTGTAAGCCCCAGCCAGGACAGCTCAAGCAGTAGCCACCACCTGGTGGTCAGTGGTCTCAAGCTGTTGCAATGCTGGACAGGGGCCAGCAGAGCTGCTAGGCTAGGAAGAGCTAGAAGAAAGGTCTGCTGATCCATGAGATAGTTAAAGTTTATTGTGCCAACCTGGCCGCTAGACACATGTGGGATTAATTGAAGGGCGGAAAGATAAATGGCTCTATGAGCCTCACCTTTCTAGTTCTCAGGTCTCTTGCTTTGTGATGGTTGGACCAGGGTACAACTGCCTTAGCCAGTTCCCTGCTTCAGCTGGCAAAACTCACTTCCTGCAAGACATCCCTGAGAAGAAGCCACATGGACCTACCCTGATGCAGCCCTGGGTGCTGGAGCAGGCGCGTGCCAGTGGTGAGATGCTTACACATTCACTGACTCAGCTTTCCTCCTGCAGTCGGCATCATTGTGTCTGTTTTGTGAGATGGAGGACTTTGTGGACTGGTGTTGGACATATGGGTTAATGTTGGACTTGTGGGCTTGGGCAGCACTGGGTTGGGATGTTTTCTTGAGGTGCACTTACCCTTTATATAAGACTCTCTCTTATACATGTGAGTTTCTGTGGATTTGTTTCTCTAATGTCCCCAGACTCACACAGTCCACTTCTGAAAAAACAGTCCAAGGAAGCCCTATAGGTCCCAAAGGCCCGATCCTGTTGGGCAGGGGTCACCTTACGTACGTCAAGGGCCAACTGGCAGGCCAACCCAGGAGCAGGCCGCCCAGCGTCACAGAACTGCTGCGCCCCTCCCCCAGCTGTGCCCAGGCTCTGCCACCAATGGGGAGCCTTTCAGGCCTTCTTTGCTGGAAAAACTCCCTCCTCACCTGCTAAGGCTCCACTCCAAGCCACCTCCCCCAGAAGCCTGTCCCTGACACCCTCCCAGTGGCCTCCGCACCTCCCTGGGAGGAGGGCACACCCATCATAACAAGGGCCAGGGCACTGGAAGGCCCCGTGGGCGGCCCGCCTTCCCCAGCAGGAGCTCCTTGGAAGTGAGCAGTGTGCTTGGCCCTGTTCCTGGCTCCTTGGAAGTGAGCAGTGTGCTTGGCCCTGTTCCTGGCCCTGTTCCTGGCTTTCAACAGAACTGGCTTCGTATGCTCGGAGCACGACAGGACGGACCCGCAGAGGGGGCACCTAAGAGGCCTCCTGGTCCAGTTTCCCTCCCCCTGCTGACGTGCATCAGATGCTCGGCAGAGCTTGAAGGGGGCTGGCACCCACGCTGTGGCTCTTCGTAGCACGAGGGATAACTGAAGTCATTGTGCAAGCCCACCCCCCACTGGGCTTGCTTATGGAGGCCACGGAGCCCAGCCATCTGCACTTGGCTTTCAGGGACACCCTGGCTCGCTCACTGAGCCCCGCCAAGGACGTGGGCTCCAGTAGCAGCCTGGGAAACCCACGGTGGGACTTTCCTGAAGACTCACTGAAGCGCCAGGGTGCTGACCCAAGCCTCAAGTGGTGGCCGGTGTCCAGGGCTGACTCCAGAACCCCAGAATTTAACCCACGGGCATAGGTGACCCCACGAGCCCAATGCCCAAGGGGCACCATGAAGCCACTTAGGTCTGAAGTAGGCAACAGCCACCCTCCCCTGCGTCCCTAGAGGGTGCCAGTCTTTCCCAGAGACAGAGGAGTGGGAGGAGCAGGGGCTGTCAGACCCTGGGGCCCCCCACTTCTGGGGCAGCCCCGGGAGGATGTGGAAGTTCCGTGAGGCAGGGCAGGCAGGGATTTCAGGATGAGTGGGGATTCAAGCACGATGCTGCCTTCGTGTTTGGGAGCACATGGGAATGGGAGGCTTCTCGCTCACCCCCACTCCCACCGTGCCCCTCAGGTGAGGCAGGGAGACCAGCTACGGCTGGAAGGAAGTCTGGAAGTCCTGAGATGGGGAGACTAAATTTGCATTGTTTGCACAAAGCAGAAGGCCCCCCTCCCCCTCCCCTGAGATCCCGCTCTGGCTGCTAGGCAGAGGAGGGGATGCTGAGTGCCTGCCGTGAGCAGGCGCAGCTGGATGGGGGCTAGTGGAGGGTGGGGGCAGGGGTGTGTGCAGCAGGGAAGATTGGGCACTGAGATGGAGCCTGACGTTATAAAAAAAAAAAGATGTCTGTTTCTCCCCAAATCCCAGGTCCCTTCTGCAGCCCCCCAAAAGGCACAGGGTCAGGAGGAGAGAGGGGAAGGGAGGACCAAGCCCTCAAGGAAGCCACTGCCTCACTCCCCCACCCCACCCCTGCTTCCCTAAACCGAGTCCATCCCCTAAACCCTGGCCATGGTCAGCCCGCCTGTAGTCCTCGGTTCTTCTCACAGCTCCCACTCAGGCCAGGCCCAGCCCAGCGAGAGCCTGCAGCCAGGCCAAGAAGGCACCTTTATTCCATGTCTCCAAGGCACAGGTACAGACCTGCCACCGCTCCATTGCCCAGGGGACAGGGAGGCACGGGCACCTGCCACTGCACCCCCCCCGCCCCCAAATTCTCTGCACCGCAGGCTCAGCTGGACCAGGGGCAGAAGACCACCAGGCTCTGTGAGTCCAGGCTGGAAGGGCTGAGCCCGAGACATCTCGGGATGAGCAGGGGGCTGCGTTCAACGCACAACTCTTCAAGAGGAAGGAGCCCGGCCGAGGAGGTCGCCTGAGCCCCCATCCGCACCCCGGGGAGACCCTGTGAGGCGGCCTGGCCGTTGTTCCCTGAGGAATGAAGCTCTGTAAACCAAATGGGTAGCAGGGCCTGTGGAGGCCTCTTCTCCTCTCTGCTGGAGGCGGACATGAGCTGCGGCCGGCAGGCCGGGCCGAGACCCAGGGCAGCCGGCACTCCCCAAAGTCGGGGCTTCCTGTGGTTTTCCAGGGGAGCCTCCGGGCTCTAGTCCCTGAGGTGCTGGTCCAGGGGTGGAAAGGCAAAGGCAGGTAATGCTAATCGGTGATTGGTGACTTCTCCAGGCGACCTTGGCCAGGAGGGAGGTAGGCTGTGAGGTGCGACAGGTGGTCCTGTGCAGGCCCCACAGTGCAGAAGAGAAAGACTGTAATGCTTCAGGATGCTGTAGTACCGCACCGGGCTCAGGAGTCAGGGGCCAAGGGGTCCCGGCTTAGCCTGTAAGGAGACACACAGGTTAGCATCTTCCCTGCAGGCAACGCCCCAGGGCCCGGTACAACCGGCTTTCAGGGTCCCGGAGCCCCTCATGAGGAGCCCCATGGCACAGTGGTTACACGTTGGCTGCAACCACTTGGTCCACAGCTGAACCCACCAGCCTCCCTGCAGGAGACAGACGGGGCTTTCTGCTCTGTCGACAGTTACAGTCTCGGAAACCCACAGGGCAGCTCTACCCTGTCCTACGGGGCCTCTGAGTCGGCATCGACTCCGTGGCAGTGAGTTTGGTTGTTTGGTTCTGGTCTGAGCCCATCCTGAAGGAGCCCTGCTGGCTCTGTGTGTTACACATTGGGTAGCTAACTGCGAGGTCACTGGTTCAAACCCACCAACCACGCCATGGGAGAGAGATGAGGCCGTCTGCCCCCGGAGAGGCAGACAGCCTCAGAAACATAGGGTCGCTATGAGTCAGAATTGACCCCATGAAAGTGGGTCTTGGAGACCCTTCTGCTCTCTAGACATTGCTTTATGCCCAGACAAGGACTCACCGGGTCTCAGCCCGGCCAGCCCATGAGCTCATAAAGAACCCCAAACCTTGCAGCAACCTGTGTCTCTAGGGGTGAGCATCTGTCTGCCCATTTTAGAAAGCCCCCTGGTGAGGCCAATGGGCAGCTGAGGTTTCCAGGGAGGAGAAGGCACGGGGACCGTCATTTGGTTCTCTGGCTGCCGCTCTGGTGAAGGAAGTGAGTACTCACTAAAATTAGGTTTTGTGTTATCTCTACATAGAGTCAATATCACAGCAAGGAAAATTTATGTCAGCACTAAAATGAGAACTTCCTGCCCCCAAGGACTGCATGGGGAAAGGCTTACCAAGAAGCAGTTGGATTTCCTGTTTGGGGGATTGACTGCGTGGATAACCTCACCTCGCGCAGAGGGTTTGGGAGGAGATGTCTTCCTCCGCTCGCCCTCCCCTGGGTCCCAACCCCAACGTCCCAGACAGACATGGCACCTGGGGAACCAGTGACATGAATCCCCGCACTAAGGCCAGGAGGCGGGCATTGTCAGGCACGGACGGCCAAAAGAACCAACCCATCTGTCCTGGCAGAAGCACAGCCCAAATGCGCGTCCGAGCGAGGATGGCGAGACTCTGTCTCACGTACTGGACATGCTGTCAGGAGAGACCCGTCCCAGGAGAGGGATGTCACGCTTGGTAATAAAGTGGAGGGGCGGCGAGAAAGAGGGAGGCCCTGGACCTGCAGGATGGACACAGGGGCTGCAACAAGGGGCTCACACGTAAGATCAACTGCGAGGACGGTGCGCTGCGGTGCGCTGCTTCGTTCTGCGGTACAGAGAGCGTCCGATGAGTCCGAACTGACTTAGCAGCAGCACCTAGTCCTTGACCACTCTGGGGCGCTCCAGGAGTCCTTCCGGAATTTTACCGGTGCACAAACCCCCGAAGCCTGAGTGCCCCGCACTCCACTCACCTCCCTCTCCATGCCCACACGCCGAGGAGGGCATCAGGTTGAGTGATGGCCCGAGTCCCTACTGCTGGCCTGAAGCTGAGGCCAGAGAAGGCGCCCCTCTGGACTGCTGTGTCCTGGGGTGGGGCAGGGGCGCCCCAGGGGGAAAGGGCTGGGGATGCGTCGGCAGAGCATTCCAGATGGAGCCAGCGCGGCACCCCCCTCCATGACCATCCTGACTCAGGGGATGGAAGGGAAAGCCCGCCTTCCCGAGGGGACAAGGCCCAAGCGGGATAGCGTGTCTGGGGCAGGGTGCCCAGGGCAGGCGCAGCCTCACCGTTCGATGATGTGGTTGTTGTCCTGGAGGTCAAATGCTAGCAGTTCCATCTCCTTGTGAAGCTCCCGCATGCTGCTCGGGCACGGAGAGGGGGGAGAGCGGTGGGCACCATCAGGTCCTCCCCGCCCCCCCCCAACACCTCCACTCTCCCCTGCAGCGCCACCCCAAGCAGCCTAAAGATTCCTGCCTTCCAGGCCTCGAAGGAGGCTGATCCCCTCTGATGCTAACCTCAGGGCCACCTCCTACCTACCACCCTGCCCCAGCACACACTCATACACACACCCCTATGCACACACTCACACTCACCCCATACCCCCCACAACCCCCTACCATACCACACACGAACTCACACTTACCATACCCCACACACACACACCACACACACACACCCCATATGCACACACTCACACTCACCCCATACCCC